ACGAGCACAAGAAGTGATCGATAAATGTACAGCACAAATGGAAGCTGATGATATCATTGAACAGCGACCTAGTTCTTGGGGATCGGCGGTTACTATTGTAGCAAAAGCCGACGGAACCCCTCGATTCTGTGTGGATTATCGCGGTACCATTAATAAGAGTTTAATCCGAAAGTCGTGGCCTATGCCCGATATTAATGCCCACATTGATACAGTAGGTGGAGCAAAGTTTATCACTGTGTGTGACGTGCAGAGCGCGTACCACCAGATACCTGTTGCAGCAGGGGAGCAAGAGAAGACCGCCATTGTAACTCAAAAAGGAAAACGGGTTTTTAAACGTCTCCCTTTTGGAATTGCGAACGCCCCGTTTTTATTTGCTCGCATGATGTCATTAGCATTTGCACATTTTGGACCCCGAAGTGGCCTCCTTGTTTACATGGACGACATCATTTGCTGTAGTTCGACTTGGGAAAGTCATCTAACATTGTTAGAAAATACATTTCAAGCCCTTCAAGCCGCAGGGCTCACATTGAAACCTTCCAAGGTACAATTCGGGCCAAGGGAAGTAAAATATTTAGGTCACATTTTGTCTGCGAAAGGAATTCGAATCGGAGACGACCGCATTAAAGCTATTGTTGACCTGCCCGCTCCTAAAACGATCAAAGAACTCCGTTCTGTTTTAGGCATGATAAATTTTGTGAGGAAATTTCTCCCAGATTTGTCCACGGTGGTAGCGCCGTTGGTAGACCTCACTAAAAAAGAGCAAGTAAAATCGATTGCAAAACGTTGGCGAAACGACCATGATGAGGCGTTTGCGACAGTCAAACGACTGCTCACGGAAGCACCTATTTTACACTTTCCCGATTTTACAAAAGACTTCGTCGTGCACGTGGATGCCAGCGAAGCAGGTGCTGGAGCTTTCCTTGCGCAGCAAACAGGAGATGACCTCAATATTATTGCGTATTTCAGCCAACGATTCAACAATGCTCAGCGCCACTATTCCCCAACCATGAAAGAATGTTACGCCGTCGTACTAGCAATACAGCACTGGCGGCCCTATTTATGGGGCAGACATTTTGAAGTTGTGACGGACCATGCTGCGTTGAGATACTTGTACACCATGCAGGACACTTCAAATATGCTGACTAGGTGGGCTATCGCTCTGCAGTCGTTTGACTTTACCGTGCGACACAAGCCGGGGAGGTTACACGTTGTTCCGGATACCTTATCTCGGTTGTTTGCTTTTGAGTACCAGCAACACTTAGAAGTCCCGAAACTAACACCGATTTGTAGGAATGTCCCTAAGGATCCTGCTTTACATGTAGCTGTACCGAACAGACCTTATCAAGTGGCCGCTGACCGCCTGGAAAATTTGAAACCAGTGCAAAGTGATCGCGAATTGTTTACCATTAATTCGGTTTACATCAGCGCGACCAACGTTTTTGAAACGATGAACCGAGACATATTGCGAAAGAAACAAGCAGCCGAGTATGGGAAATACATCGACTATCTTGTGGGGGAAAACGCACGAGTCCCGGACAACGAAACAGCAACAACCATGTCCTATTATTTTGTACGAGACGGATTGCTGTTCAAATCGTATTTACCAGGTTACCTCAGGAAACGGAGTACTTTCACTGATCAATTAGTATTGCCACAAGCTCTCACGGGCTTAGTTTTGCACGCTTACCATGATCACGTTTTGTCCGGAGGTCACCTAGCATCTAGACCGACTTATGACAAGATCCACCAGAAATATTGGTGGCCGAACATGAGTCGTGACGTTCGCACTTGGTGTCAGGAGTGCCAAGCATGCCAACGTCCGAAAACCGCGCACAATCGCACCAAACTGCCAACTGGACACGTACCAGTACAACGACCGTTTGAGCGAGTTTCAGTGGACTTAGTTGAATACAAGAGCGAATCGATGTCAGCCGCCGGCGTACGATGCAAATATGTCCTATCCATGATGGACCATCTAACCCGATTCACCGTGTTGACTCCGATTCCGAATAAATCAGCTGTCACAGTTGCTATCATTGACCGCATCATAGGCATTTTTGGACCGCCTGAGATGTTGCATTCTGATCAAGGGCCTGAATTTGAGAATAGTGTGATCCACCAGTTACAGAGTATTCTGAACTACAAGAAAACCCGCACAACACCATATCGTCCGCAAGGGAATTCTGTGTCGGAACGACTACATTCAACGATGCACGCAATGCTTGCCATGCATATTTCAATGAAGCGTGATAACTGGGCATCGCTACTACCTTTCATACAACTGGCGCATAACACTTCTTTTAGTGCGACCATGCATGAAACTCCATTTTTCCTCATGTTTGGCAGACAACCACGACTACCTGTCGATATCATTCTCGGTATTCCTCATGTAGGAACAACAGCCAATACCGAAGAACTAGCGAAAGACACGCGGGAAAATTTACAAATTCTTTCGAATTAGCGCGCCGAAACTTAACGGAACGTACAAAAAAGCAAGCGGCGAGTAATTCAAAACTGAGACCGATTCCCGTGTTTAAACCTGGCGATCAAGTACTGGTATACAGACCATATCAGGATTCCGATGGCCCCAACCCGAAATTGCTGTTACCTTGGCGGGGACCATACGTCGTCTGCTCGCAACTATCACCCGTAGTATACCGAGTGAGACGCCCATAAGAAACTCGAGAAGTTTCGGTTCACCTAGCCCATATTAAACGATATTTTGCGAGGAAAACACCGCCTGCTCCCGACTTTGATAAACTCGCTGAGTTCTTTTTAGGGCGACAGATTCCGTTACCCGCTATCGACCACCCTGATGAGGCCCAACCAAGAATTGAGTCTTACGTTGTAGACAAAGTGGTAAGCCACAAAAGTGGTCGGGGTCCGAGGACTCCTTTTAATTACCGATACCGTTTGCGTATTCGAGGGTATGGCCCGGGGTCAGACCTCGAATACCGCGCAGATGAGGTACCACAATGTCAAGAAATGATAGCTGCATACCGAATCCGTTGTGGTTTGGATATTATCGCGCCTCCTAAAACAACTTCGGTTCGCACCCTCAACAAGCAGGGGGACGAAGCATCACCCTGCCGAACTAGGAAGCGAAGACGTACCGAAGCAAGGAATTGAGCAACAATGCCAGATATAGAGCGCTCAAGAAATTTATCTGCTGTTGTTCTGCGGCTCAAATTTGTTTCATTTTTATGTTAAGTTTTATTTTTAACGAAATGGGGACGAGTTAAAACTATCTTTTTCCTTGTCCTTGTGACATGGAGATAGTAATGACACGTTAACACTATCTTTTTCCATGTCCTTGTGACATGGAGATAGTAATGAAACGTTAACACTATCTTTTTCAATATCCTTGTGACATGGAGATAGTAATGAAACGTTAACACTATCTTTTTCCATATCCTTGTGACATGGAGGTAGTAATGACACGTTAACACTATATTTTTCCATACCCTCGGGACATGGAGATAGTGACGGTGAAAGGGGTTTTGTACATTTTTTGGTACACCCTATTTTTTTTTTTTTTTTTCAGTGTTCTTGGGAAAACACTGGCGAGGAGAGAGTCTTATGACTTATTGTTGCTGTCAGCTTTGTTCAAGAAACCAACGGAAGCCACGTGTGGATACGTTTTACGGTTTCAACAAGCGAACGACAGATCGATTTCACCGGGCCCCATTTACGTTGTGTCCACTCCTTGGTTCTCGGCTACATCTTGAGTGAGTTTTCGACGAAGATCCATTCAAGTAAAAAAAAAAGACGGAATCAAGATATTAACACGGTTGGCCACGCGACCAATTTTCCGTGATTGTTTGTCATTTTGCGACATTTTGTTATTTTTGCACTATCATCCAGCAAGCGCCTGATCCACGCGTGCGATGACGAACAGTGCATGAGTAAAATGAGTTACCAGTTTCCGTGACACATCGGTAAACTGTTTTGTCGCCAAAAAGTTTTTTTTTCCCAGGCATGGTATATTAAGCTATCAGTTTCAAACTGTTTCCATGTATATCGTCCAAGGCCTCTAGAAACGCCAAAATGCATCCTTAGCAAAGATGAATTTGTGGCGCATAAAGGGGGGGGTGATGTGGATGACAGGTGTAGAAGTGCTGTAACCATTGTTGTTGCACATACAAAAGTAGGACCAAGATACGATCCGAACGGAGGATCTTACTGATGGTTGATCAGCAAGAGACCCGACTGTGGATGCGTCCCTCTTGGAGCCACCTGTGGAGCTTGGGAATCCGAGACCCTCGGGCTTGGTCTCCCTCGCCCCTTCGGCGGCACACTCTCTTGTCTCTCTCTTCTGAGACCCTCTCCTCTCTAAATCTCGACGAAGAGAACTGCCAGCCCATAGTAGTGGGAAAAGACTACTGCGACCTGGGCCTCCCCCCCAACGAGGGAAGCCTGTGTCCTCAAACGACCTAAATAAATAGGCGGACGGTTAGTTTGCCCTCACCCACGGCCAAAGCACGGCCTAGCGGCCGCGAACTGGTCGAGAACGCGGCTGCGCCGCGTTCTCGGAATGCGGAACGGCGAGAGGGCGCTGGAGAGGGTCAAGGCTAGGGACCAACGCCGGACCAATCAGAGGGCGTAAAAGCCGTTAGATAGGAAGAGTCACTAACAGACTGCAAAAACTGCTGAATTTGCGATCGTAGTTTCGTAATGGAGTTAGACTTCGGAAAACTGAGATATGCAGGCGTTTCTTGAATTTTTCAGAGGAGGTATGCGATCCCTCCCGTGCCATTACATCTGATCCACGTGCCAAATCGGTTCCCGCATCCACGCCGTCTTCACCCTGAGAAATTACGACGTCTCGTCGAACAGACACCACTGATACCAAAACAGAACAATGTGGCATGCACTCTTCTGGTAGTGATTGGTTGTGAGTTGTCCGCATCGGGGAGGAACAACAACGCAACACCGACTGCCATATGCATACATACAAGGTACCAATCCTTACAAGGTGAGCGGGAGCACGGGGGCCACACCTCTTGCCTGTACAGCTGGCATACCCCGTTGACCATGCTGTGTATGTTGACGATGTTCCTGCTGGTATCATCCAACATGAGCCACCGCGGCGGTAAGGGCATCTTCGGCCTCCTAGGCAATTCTCGGAAGGGTGTGCGCTGTTGCTGCTGGTCCATCTGGCTGCTCATCTTGGATGCACCTTCCATCGTGAGAGAACAGAAGAGCAATCAGAGACGCCTAACCCTAACCCTAACCCTAAGCCTAAGCGTTAACGCATGCACACTACACCACTTGTGCACCTCCAAAGCCAGCGAGTGTGTTTCACCGCGTCGCCGCAGTTCATGGTTATAGATGGTGTCATAGATGAATTCGTTGCAAGCTGATTGGTTGTTTATCGCAGACATTGGACAGTCCCGGACCACGACGGGTCCGCCCTCCGCCCTCCCCTCGGACATGTACAGCCCTTCTCTTCTTGTTTTACAGGAGTCGATGGACAGCACCTATACGATATCACATGCGTGGGATTGCCCCCCACTTCGGCCCGGCCAGAGGAAAATATTTTATTTACTTCAATAGGACGGGGTGCAATGGTTCCCCGCAGCTGATTCCTCGCAAGCTGCGGTCGGGTTTCGCGAATGAAGCGCTACGACGGGCGGGCGACCTACGCGATAAGGGCCGGAGAGGTGGCACCGGGGACATTCAAAGAGAGGAAGTGACAGGAACAGGTTGGCAGCACACACGCGTCCGAACGTACGTACCAACGGCAGAATCACAGCACATGAAGAATGTCACCCCACTGATGTATGCAGTCTCGAGCAGCCGGCTCTTCTCAGTCTATTCCTTGTCTACGACTACCGTATATGACACACAAGATAACACACCCCCTAGACCAATTTTTAAAACTCGATTACGCCATGACGAAGAGGATGCATAAATTAAACAATACATTTTCGGAAAGCTCTCCACGAGACAGCTTCAACGCCACCGTTTTCGGCGTTGACTCTTTCTGTTGTTGAGAAATCGACATTTGAAACTGACAAGTAACCAGAAACATGTTGTATACCCGGGTACTTTTATCACCACTTTAGGGTACACTTAGAAATCAACACGCTTGCACCCCCAAGGAGTCAGCTGATTGGCCGAAAAAACATCGTACCCGTTTTGGATTAAACCTCCATCGGGTACAACCGCCGCTGGCATTAGGACCCTCTGGTGTGACCGATATTGGTTACTGGTGTACACGGAAGAGGTCGATTTTGTACCCAGAAATGGTCATATTTCCCGGCGCGCGACGACTCTAAAACCCGCGAAAAAAAACGTGTACCGCACATACCCGCACGACACACCACGTACCGCACATATTCCAAAGTACCCATACAAACCACCAACGCTCGTTGGCGGGTACATTGCCTTGAAGGATACCAACCTCCGACAGCCTCCTCCGTAGATCGCGGCGAAACCAACCGCCGTGTGCCCTGCCGTCCTGCTGTGTGCTGCTGTGCCTTGGAAGCATGAGGCAAGCATGAGGCAGGTCGTGCCCGTTTTGTCTCTCTGTGCTTACCTACGAGCACCACGCCGAGCTAACTCGCACATCGAGCGAGTTCGACCCCCTCTAGAAGAGGGGCCCATGGTGTGTCGTGCGGGTATGTGCGGTACACGGTTTTTTCTGCGGGTTTTAGAGTCGTCGGGCGCCGGGAAATATGACAATTTCACACACACAAAAAAAATCGACCTCTTCCGGGTACACCAGAATCACCATGTGGGTACAGCAGTAGAAGGTCCCGAGATACCGCTGGCTCCCTGGGGGTACCTGGGGGTGCAGGCGTGTTGATTTCTAAGTGTACCTTAAAGTGGTGATAAAGTACCCGGGTATACCCGTTTCTGGTTACTGCTCTTTGAAGATCGGTCCAGGGGGGTGTGTTATCTTGTGTCATTTACACTTTCCAGAAACTCCACAACGTACAGAGCTGTTCCGATGTGCCTCGCGTAGTACATGCCGACCCCTCACTTTGCTTGCCTGGCTAACTTCTCTGTGTAGGCTATCAGTCTACATGAGGCCGATGACATTTGACACGGTAGTGATGATGGGGGGGGGTCCTGCCCTGTTCGTACGACTGCTGTCTGCTGTACAGCAGCACGCACCTCACCCTCAATACATACTTTCCCGCAGCCATGTGCGCTGTATTCTTAGACATGTCCCTCCTTGTACACAAGAAATACAGATGAAAGCAGGAGGGGGGGGAGGCGCAGACGTGCAGTATTCCTGAGGACACCCCAACGGCCCTAGCAGGGGGGTACGCAGTTTGTGTGCGCCAGAGGACGTTTTTTTTCTTGCTCCAAGTCCAACCCTTACGCCTCTTGCCCTATCATTGGGAAGTCGTTGGTGTTGTGGTGTGCGATTTCTCCATGTCAAAATACTTTTCCCCATCAAATGAGCTCAATTTCTGATGACTTTTTCGTATTTTTCAAAATCTCAAGGCTAAATTTATTTAATAAGCGCGCCGACACCATCTAGAAACAATAAATATTTTCGATCTTCCGGCGAAAACACAAGTTCATGAATGGAGCCAAGCCCCATAGTTGCACGTTGTATCCAGGGTGGACGACCGGAGGTTTTTGCCCAATTTCCCACGACGCTCGGTCATGTTTGTCCGGTTCGACGGTAGTAGTGTGCTCTGTGGACGTAGTAGGCAGGCTGTAATGTCATGTAGGGTGGCAATTCTATTATTTGGCGGCAAGCGGCTTGTGCTTTTCGGTGATTGGTGACTTTGGAGGAGGTGGAGAAATAAGAAAACAGGCAGTTAACTGGTGATATACGGACACCTGGTAGTCTCGCAGCCAGAATGCGAGAAGTTTCAGGCGTAACCGTCGGGAATGTTGAACGAGACAGTTCGGTACGACAACGCGTTCTTCGGCCAGCCTTTGTGGGAAAACGCGTGCCCATTGGAGCGAGTCGCAATCGCCAGGCGGATCTCAGGTAGCGAGCGTCGCGGCTGTCAGTGTTGCCCTGTGCCGACGAAATACCACGCGCCTCCTTAAAGCGGGGTAGCCATCACTACAGGGGAACAGCGCAACAATTCTCAGCGTCAATGCTGCTCAACGATGCTCGACTCCAACAATGTTCGACGATCCTCAACCTCAACGATCCTCAACATCAGCGATTCTCAGTATCAATGGTCGTCGACTTCAACGATGCCCGACGTCAACAATTCCCAGTCATGATCGACTTCAGCGACAATCAACGATGCTCAAAGTCGCTCGACATCTAAGATGCTCAACGATGATCAACTCCAACCATGCTTGACGTCAACCATCCCCGACGACAACGAAAGTCGACGTGGCGCCAACCAAATGCTCAAAAACAAATCGAAGGACAAACATGACAAACAATTGCATCGGCAAAAGGCACCATTACTCAGGGCTTGGTTGTGGCAGTATGCCGTTCTTCTGCTCCTCCAAGCACTGCAGGACACGTGCTCACAACAAGCACAATAGTAGAAGATGGTACAGGAAGAAACGTCGGGCATGCCGCCTCACTTCTCAGTGTTAGGTGCGGACCGATGTGGTAGGGCCCGCTTTAAGAATACCACAGGGTATTCGTTTTTGAAAAATCTCTGCATGGGGTACATTATTCTACTCCTACGTTACAAGTTGTGGGGGGTTTCAGTTCAGTATCCACGTAATAGAGAGTTGTTGCTTCGTATGCATGAAATACATATTTCGAATGCTACCTTTCAGGCACATCAAATCATCATGGCAATTGTGCAATCCTTGTCGGGTGTAGCAGCCGTCTTCCTGGTAGGAGATAATCAAGGTTTGGGAATCTCGGTAGGAGATTCTTCGGGTAAGTTCTCCTCTAGACTAATATGAAATATTCGAGCCCGAGCTTTAATATGTTAGTCTCACTTGGTCGCGGGTCCTCAATACCTTCTAACATCTGTCATATCGGTCCAACTGACGTGGATGGATGACTGCCGTGCCGCCAGACTAAATTGGCGCAAAAAGCGGGTTGCCTAGTTTGGGCGCTCCATAGGGCAGTGAGCCTGGGGCCAGCGAGAAACTCACACACAGTATCCCGACATAGCGTACTACTGTAGTCTAGTAGGAATGTGGGGGATAGATACAGTTGTAAATATTGTGTCTTGTTTGTTGTAGACTTACCAAGTTAGATCATTTTATTTGAATGTCATCGTACGTCGCTCCACTAGAAACTAGTGAAGCAATTTTTTCTACTTTTTCTGAGTGTTTGTTTGAGTTTTTTCGAACGTGCGCACGTAAAAGAGCCTCACATCGAGGTCTGTGATGATGCTTCAACAGCGACTGCGCAATCCACACAGCAGTCATGCAACCTTCTACCTGTGCCGTACATTTTACCATCCGTGCGAAGGGATCTTTACATCGTAATTTGCTGTCTTCTCATTGGTTGGAGATGCGCGTGCGCGCGCTCCCTCGGTGAACCTCTTTTTGGTTCTATTCACAAAGCTCTCATGGTGTGGGGAAACCCCGGCGCTGTGCTACATTTCTCCGCACGTCCCGCATGAGGTGCGCGTGCTGTGAAGGACGGACAGGGCGGCCGTGCTACCTCATCGACACTTAGCCTCTAGAGGGAAGCATTGCATAGCGCGGCTCCCACCGTTGGCCACCACAGCAGCGGTCAGTCGTTGATGCAAGGAGGTGAGCGGCATGCTGCCGATCACTCGCTCTGCTGGCGGCGCGCATCATGGTGCTGATCATAATGCAGGCGCGGATGACTGCGTGGATGGTGCGGCTGATCGCCAGCACAAGCCGGTGTCGCACCCCTTCCCCGCAGCCCCATGCGCGAAGACTCGAGAGAATGTCAACTTCTTGCAGCAAAACCCTCCTCGAGAATGGACAGCGAACCCCTCCGGTAGCGAGTAGCAAGCCGTTGGGCAATTCCCATCTGTCGGCCGGCGGTGCACCTGGCGGTGTAGCCTCCGTCGTGAACACATTTCCTTGCGGCACTCCTGCGGCTATCGGAGCGACTCGCAGAAGTGTGAGTGAACGTGAATCACCACCAGCGAGACGCCACGCGTCGCAAAGCCCACCATCCCGGGGGAGTTTGGGACGAGATGCAAGAAATTCATGCGAGGGCTTCGGGGCCAGTGAACGCCGCGGCCGGGTGCCGCACTCGTTCCTTGCTCCAGCTGTGCAGATGTCCCAAGCATCGGTACCTTGGGGACGCTAGGGGAGCTATCAGGTGATGGTTTCGAATTCGCAGAACCACATACGCCCCTTTCCTCTGTCATTGGGGTACCTACGGGACCGGGATACTGCTCTACCGGTACGTACGGGCCGAGTGCACCACTGCTACATTCGGAGGTAAAGGGAGGACCGCACCTAAATATGAAGGCCCATGCCAACTTGGAGCAATGTTGCCACCATGGCAACGCCTAGCCAACGCAGTGCTGTGGCGACCGCAGCAGCAGCTGTCAGCCGCCGGTTGCTTTGGAGGGGTATGGCCGCCGCCGCCGCCGCCGCCACGGCTATTGATGGCGCAGCAGGGCGCAGCTAGCGGGGCGGTGTTACAGCCGCAGCAGGTTGGACGGGTACGTCAGCCACTCCCGCCGCTGCCGTTGCCTGTGCAGCAGAGGACGGCAGGCGGCATCGTCGGTGACTCCGGCCATGGTTTACATCTGGTTTTGCAGCATGGCGCACCACGGCTCAGGGACAGGCGGTCATGAGGAGGAAGACGAGGGGGAGGAGGGGGAGGCAAAGGATGTCTCCAGCGGAAAGCCCGTCCCTGTCATCATGCCTGCTAATCCTACGTTGGCGAAGCGCAGCTGGTGCTGTTCGAAAAGCAAGACAGTTACTTCGATTTGTCGTGGGTGTCTCAAACGATGGCATTGCCACGTCGACCATGGGCTGATCGACCTCACCAAGGATCGCTTCATTGGCTGCTTCTGCGATACCAAGACGAAGTCGGCATGTCGTATCACGCGTGAGTACCCAATTTCGTTTTCCGCTGTTCAGTTTCTTTGTTCAATTGTACTTCTCTTTAATTATGTGACCAAGAGTGATGTGCCAGATCTAGTTCTCGGATGCTTCTCGCGCACGTGGGTTTCACCCGATTCGATGCCACCCATATGGGTTTATTGAGAGGAATATGTAACAGTATCTTGACTTCCACAGCGCTCTCGCAGCCTTGTAGGCTGTCACCTGTTGTCACCTAGCTGCTCCGGGAATGTTGCTGGTGAGCAATATCGACTCCAAATTTTCTGGTTGCTTGACCATCGGTGTTTGTTAGGGCTTCACCCTCTCGCAGTGCGACCAAGACCGAAGCGTCCGCAATACGACCTGCTCTCAGCGTGCGTGCTGTACGTACACTCATATCCCCCCCTCTATTCTTCCCACCATCACATGCTTCGTATGCAAGAAAAACAAAGCTGATAAGCGAGCGGCATCCCAACGAGCTCAAGCCGGCCACATCCACGGGAGTAGCGTGTCCCGAGTGGTTCAACGCCAGGCTCGAACCAGCGCTTTCAAGCTCCGTCTGCCTCTCACGGTCGCGGCAGGCAACTCTAGAGATAGAGGAAAGGCACTGTTTCCGGTCTCCACTACCGCCCGCGGCGACCGTGTCATGGTCATCACCGACGTCACGGCCGAGCAACCTGGTGCACCTGCAAGCTGCATCGTGAACTGCTGCGATAACCGATGCCACAAGTGAGTCGATGTAGTAGTCGGCGGATGTCACGAAACAACAGTGCTTGTGTGGTGTTCGACACTCTTCCTTCTCACTGGCAAATCTCCGATCGAAACTTGCGTTTTTTTTGCAACCCGACGCTTTTATAACTCATTTGGACAAAAAAAGGCATTTGCAGGGCACAGATAGGGGCCCGACCGTTTTGCATTCTTATGTTATTTTCGATAGTTGCTGCGTGCTAAATTCATCCGAAATTATTCGGCTTTTTTTTTTCTGACGACGCCCTGTCATTTTCATGGTTGCTTTCGTATGTTTTTGCAGTGTGCAAGCGGAACCCGAGCACGCGCCAAACGCCGAGCAGGTTGCAGCGGGCTAATGTGAGCACGCTGACGTCATTCTCGGAGATGGGACCACTCCGAAGGCGGATATTCCTAAAGCAGATCTTTGGCAAGGATGGGGAAGGGATCGAAAGCGTTGGGGATGCAGCGATAACCCAGATGGCTTGGACTCAGGGTAGCTTTGATATCATTCTAAGGATGGCAGCGACTGCAGAGGAGCACGGGGTGCCGCTGTTGATGCGCTTAGGCGAGACTCAGACGTATGTTGTGTACCATCCGGGTCATCGGTCTATTCCTTGCAGCTGGGCGCACGTCAAGACAGATTTCCCACAACCATGTGGGTCGAAGAAAGCGCCATCAACGAAAAGGCGGACCACTCTACGGAAGCAGATCCAGTGCAGGGTGATAGTCTACTACAGCCGATGCGTGACTATTTTTTATTCGGAGCTCTAGAGTATTGACTGCATATATAATAGAGCGCTTCTCTTGCAGCACTAAGTATATGTGTATGTCGGACAGCGGGACTTTAACTTCATGGCAGGAAGGCAACTATTCACGCCACCATGTCGAGGTCGGAGGTAAACTACTGCATGTGTACAATGGGTTGATGATGTGTTCCGGCGGGAAGTTAACAACAAATAATATGCACGCGCGAACAGAAGTAGTAACTGTCGAAGACGTACTGCAGTAAAAGAGCGTAGAAAGTTACCCATCATTCATCATTATAGATGGTCAAGATATTGTCAAAGGAGCCAACAAAGAACGTATATGCGCGCGTACAACCAGAACCAATAATGTAACCGCCGATACGCGGCGGAATAAGCAGCCGTCGTGGGGCAGGGTAACAGGTGTACCTCGGCCCTGTCGTTAGCAGGCGGATCCCGGGTGTTCCCGGTGTAGAATAGATGGCAGGTAGGCAACCGTACGCACGCGCAAATTTGTCAAGGCCGGAGTTACTGTACAAAGTATGGATGGATGGGTGCCGACGAGGAAAAAAGATAGAGTCACAGAGTCATCAGTCATCAATCATCAAGTTGTCAAGTTGTTTGTTGTGCATGCGAAATGCGCCGGTACATACTTCCGAGTCGGGTGGTTGCAGCGGTGTGGCCCGAACCTCTTGTTGGCAGGCAAAAGTGGAAGACACAAACCACTCCAGCGTCGAAGAGGTTGCCAATCCAGCTGTAGACTGGACGGAGTTTCAATTTTGGCACAAGATCGGCAACGTTCAGGCACACATTCATCGAGATCGGAGCAACTTGGTGCCGGAAGCGCCTGTTGCAGGCTCGTGTTCGGTGCTTGAGAAGGCCGGTCACCGACACAGCCATTGTTATCGCAGGAGGCACCAACCCCTTGCGCCTGCGGCATTCGGCTCGTAAAAGTGCATGGTTCGGAGCTTCGGAGTGAACGCGACCATTCATTCATTCATTCATTCACATAATTTTTTCCGTCCTGTGCGACCTACCTCTAGAGACCGTGACGGTCTCGTAGCGGAATGGGAGAATAAGGCCCAGCCAAAGTGTACGATTCACACTTGCTTGGCGTATTGAAAATTCATCGTGTGCGGAACCCCGTATTTCGCAAACGTTCTCAACGCAACAGTCAGATGAACGGTCCATGGTTTGACCACGTCTTGGAGTGGCGGGAGGCGGCCAACGCGGATCCCGAGCACATCATGTTCTTGCACTACGAGGCCATGCTGGCAGAGCCACAGGAGCACATCCGGAAGATCGCAGAGTTCGCTGGCATCAATTACACGCCGGATATCCTTGCTAAGGTGATTGTTCATGATTGTTTTTCAAGAAAGTCGCTTCAGTGACGAGGCCTTTGGAATAGGCGATGTGCAGTTTTCACCCACCCCGGGGTGGGTAGCGCCCGACGTTGTTTAGGGATGCGCGGAAAGACTATATGCCAGTATTAGGAAGCCAGAGTGTGTATCACGTCTGACTCTCCAGCCCCGCCCCTACAATTAATATATACAATGAGACAAGTACACACAGTTGAGAACGTTCATCAAGTACTTCGTGAAGTGGAAACATAAGGTAAAAACCCCCACTAGTCATTAGAAATGTCAAAGCGAGCCTCGTGCGCCAGGATAACGTTTACCCTATCGAGGATTGGCCAAGATGCCCACATGTTTCGAGGGGAGCCATGCCCACTACTGCTGTGCAATGAACATGTCCAGCTCAACCAACGGCATTGGAGCTCTTCAGACCGCTTGTGCGCATGTATCTTCGTTCGCTCCGCTTTACTTCTCTGCCTCCGCGTCAAACATACCTTGTCACCGACCGATCGTCCGATCAACCAGGCGGACGCGGCTTCGTCTTTGTCGGCCATGAAGCGAAACCCTAAGACGAACTTGTACCCCTCGAAGAAGCACCTGCGGAAGGGAGGAGCAGGGGGGTGGCGGGACTCATTCACGGTGCGGGAGTCGGCGGCGTTTGACGAGGTCTATAGGGAGCAGATGGAAGGATCCGGTCTTCGAATGGACTTTGGGGAGGGATTGGTCATGTGATCTTGCTGTATGGGTGATTTGGACCCTTCCTGCCTGACGTGGCCGGCGTCGCCGTGCGGCATGTGTGACGAATGTAATCGATCGAACTTTTCGGTTTCTGGGGATACACGGCCTTTCGCTACCCTCCCCAGAGTTATCGCATTTGTCACGGGTGAGTACCACTAATGCATCAATAATCTGAATGGCACGGAGGAGAACGTGCTTCGCCTTCGTATTTCATTCGTGTCCTGTATTTTTGTTGCCGTGTTCATGCAAACCGCGCAACATGCTCTTGTCGTTGCATGGTGAATTGCGATGTTAATTGCCATTTTTTTTTTAAGTTTTGCTTTATTGTTGGTTTCGCGTGTCGTGTGGAAGCAATGTCCTTTCACTCTCTAATGTACTCATTTACTTGACAGGCCGCCTGAGATGACTATCCGCTTGCTGCCTGGGATGTCTGACTGTTTCGGGGGGCTGTTTTTTTTTCCTAGTCTATTTTTTGTGCCTTCGTTTATTTTTTGGAACGTTGCGTTTGCCTGCTTGAACACGTATGTGCCCTCAATCAGGGTCTATGGTGTTGGATGTGATAGCAACAAAACCTACAGAAAACGTGTGTGGTTGTCCTTGTCGAACGCGTCTGATACGCGTCAACCAACAGCTTTTTCAAGTACCGCTCTGGCGGTACGCCCGGGACAGCAACAGGAACATACCGGAAGGGGAGTGAGCTTTATTCCAGGCCTTGGGAGGTCACGCCCCTACGTATCAAGACATGCATGCTGCACCGCGAATTACCAACGCGCAGGGAACCAGTCCGCGCCGTGGCGAAAAAAACAATAAAGTGATCTATTTGCATTTTCCACTCAGGTATTTAATTCGGTATTGCGATAAAGTAGGACATGAACACCTTTCAAGAACGATCGCACGACGGTTGACCGTGCCACTTCGAGGGTGACAGTCTCGAGAAAAATCGCCAGCGACACGCCGCAGCTGATATGTTGCCGGTACACATTTGCTTCCTTCAACATAGTGTTGTTTTCCTGGCACGGAGGTACATGCCGCCTTACATGCAAGTACCGTGAGAATATAAATGACAAGTACTGTAGGTCGAAACAATGTACTACGATCCTCATCAACCCTCTCTGCAACGAATTTGCACTCCACCCAGCTGGTCAAACTACTTGTTGCACGATGCAGAACAACCAAGATACTACAGCAATATACCCAACATGCTTCAGCTATATTTCCCCCACCCCTCCTCGTGTCTATCCTAAGATCCGCCCGAAGACTTCGTTGTCCTTTCCTACCGCGCGTTTGACTTGGCACGGGGGGTACGGCAATAAAATGAGAAGAGATGCAGTGGGACCGGGGGCGCGAAAAAAAGGAAACGATTTGGAAAGACCTCGCACCTCCGTACGTACTATTTAACACGCTTTGCGGTATCCTCATCCAACGTCCCGGACACGAAATGCACTGGGAACGACATAGACAGCAACAGCCCTGAGGGAAAAGTATGCTCGATGACTCGTTGAAACAATATCGTACTTTGATCCCCGACGAAATCCGGAATTAGGTTGTCCTACATTCGATTTTGAGGTCAAATTGCGGGGGATAAATACAGTGGCTACGACCTACTGCCTTGGCATTGCCATACCTGCACTAATTGCTGCATTCGGTATGAAGATCGTACGTTTGATTTAAGATAGACAAGAAGTGTTTCGGGGCTGGAGGTCGAAGGAACTACATTTTAGTCCCTAGCCTGATCATGGGGAGCTGCTCCCTGAGACGGGTGTTTCCCTTGCAGTTTCAGGTTTACACCCCCCGTGACACATTGGATCGTGCCGTGCTACAAGCGGAAGGCGAAGAATACTAAACAGTGGATGATGATGATTTTCACAGTCACCCCTTGGCCAGCTTGTTCCGGGTCATCCATATGAGGTTGTCGGCCAAAGGACGGAGGAGATTGTCGAATGCGTAGCTGATTGCTTTACCACTGAGCACCGCCCGCCTCGTCGCGTCCATGTGGGACAGATGGGCGAGTAGAGTCTCCCCGACATCGAAATAGCCGTGCTCTTGCCAGTCATCACCGGTCACCGCTTCCACCCCGCACTCAATACAGCCCTTGATCTTAAGCACGGCCACGACGAGATCGGGCCCCTGACATGATGACGTCGTGGTAACAAAGTCAAAATGACCAACTGGAATGAACGTGCGCTCTCACGCTTTCTTGGAGGTTCGCAATATCTTCAAGGACTTTGTGTGCAGACGCAATTCTTGTCCAGTTGCCATGTGACGTGAGTCCTTCCGACGTTGCTTGTGGAGCTTAAATAGGTCGAGTGGACCATGGATACATCTATTGTGCACTCCGTCTGCGCTAGTCGGAGATTTTTTTATGATCTTGACTCCAAGTGCCTACCACGTACGATGTTCGAGGAGGTATCTCGTGCACCAGCAGTCACATCAACAACATGCGGTTCTTGTCTTTCCTTCTTCACGGTCTGGCGTGACCAGCTATGTACCCTGGATGCCTTTCCGATATTGCAGTGGATGGCACATTGCCTTCAAATTCGTTGTGCAAACCACGCCAGCAATATCGGTGCCTGTGTTCTCTAGCTCGGATGGTAAAGATCGTGGTATACCTGACGTACAGGTTTTCCCCCGGAGGATAGCTGGTCGGAAAGGCAAAGTAGCAGCGAATGATGATACCTTCGGTGAAGATGGTTTGCATCATAGCACGTAGCATTGACTGTTTTCACACAACAAACCTGTGTCCCACCAACTGTCCACCCCCTGGTGCGCGTCACTTGGCTATGATCATAGGCGAATGGGGGGACGGGGTGTACCTCGTCCAAGAAAGGCTCTAGCGGCAAATGCGTGCATACGAATATGGTGGGGTTGGGTGTCATGGGCAGCGATTGTGGAAGAAGCTTCCCCCTCAACTGAGACGGCGGGAGCGACGAAGATTCAGGCGACGAGGGCATCGGTTCAGGGGCGGCGGAGTACAAGCGTAGTGCGCCGGGGTTTGTAGCAAAGGTAGAACAGCTGCTGAGGATGTTCGGCAGCATCAAATACCCGGTCCACGTCCTCGCAGCCCTGTCGGAAGATGGAGAGCGTGGCAGTTTGGAGGCGGACGCCGAGATTGCGAGTCTCGAGGACGTATGCCCCAAGTGCGACGAGGAGTATGTCCACTTGAAGAGTGTGCGGGTCACAGCGTTGGTCCCGGTGAGTTGGGTACTTGGTTCTTTGCCGGCACCGCGCGTCGCATAGTAAACATGGCCTCTTTTGGGTGCGGCTGCTTGGGCATGGGCATATGGTGTGGCCCTGTGTCCGTGTACTACCTGCAAAAAAGAATAGAAGCGCACGTACTTCCACACGCAGCACCGTTTGTCGTGCATATAGAACAGGAGTATGTGAGTTTTGTTCTCGTCTGTACTCTCCGCATCAGACTGATTGAGTATTAGCCGATGGTTGTCCGTCTGTGCCTATTGTACCAGTTTCTTCTTTGATAAATCGTCGTCGGAAAGGATGCAACAAGATTGTACCAGAACGCACAGCCTTTTGCACACAGGTTGAAACAGGTGTTGATTGGTTGTGTGCGAAGCTTTATCTCGTCTGTGCTCTCTACACCACCTTGAGTCACTTGGTATAGTAACGTTAGATTCAACCGAACCTCCGCGCTTGCAACGCAAGGTGGAAACGAGAAAAAAACTTGCCGAGGACCAGCACGGTTGACCGAGGCAAGCGGTGATGCCCTTCTCTGAATAATGCCCAGTCCTGTGCGTGCACCTCTCGGTCACTGGCCGAAAATACTCAGAAACATCGCTACAGCCCAACAGTTGAAAGGCGTTTTCCAAGAGCACCACCTGTCGTTTGGACCCTTGGTCGGTTCTCACCTTCAACAACCATCTTCGTCCGCCTCCCCGGGGGCTAACAGAGCATGTTCTGCGAAAGTTGTCACCCGGAGTCGTCACCCGACAGCACTTTGAGAGTGACTAGCGGAGCCAATGGGGGGTTCATGACTGCACCCAGCGATAGTGTGAAATTATCGGTGAAGGAACACTGCCTGGCTGGGCATTTTGGCCTCCTTAAGACGTTCTTCTTCAGTATCCGTCAAACCTTCCGAGTGGTCTTGCCATATGGTTTACGTAGGAGCCGGGGCCATACTAGCTCCTGTACATTTTGAGTTGGGTTGTTGCCCCACCGCTCCGTGCTTGCCGAAGTTTTCTTTGCGAGAAGGGGTCAGCCGTCCGTGTTCCTCCTCGACAGTGATTTCTCGAAGAGCGTAAACTTACAAAGTAAGCGTTTTCACCCCAAACTCCGAACGCATTTTCACTCCAGGAAAGAATAAAGCTAGCTCACAACCTGCTTCTAGTTCTTAGTTTACGAGATAAACGCTGGCCCACCGTAGCGGCCGGATCGATGAGGAATGCGCAACTACAGTGGACATATGCACGAGGAATGCGCATATGCACGACATCGCTTTCGATCTACACAACCCGGGATGGACACCGGAGGCTATTGATCGTTTGGCCGACGCCCTTGTAGAGTATTCCGACGTGTTCTCTACTTCAAAAACCGATTTTGGTTCCTGCACCGTCATGCCTTTCACTCTTTCTGTCCCCGCAGGGACGAAGCCCGTCGCATCACGCCCGTGTCGTATTAACCCGTTAATGCAGAAGAAAGTGGATGCCGTTTTGGACCAGTATTTGGCGGCAGGGCTCATTCAGCATTCCACTTCTCCCTGGGCTTCTCCTCTGGTCGTCATCCCCAAGAAGGACGGATCGGTTCGCATCACCGTCAACTACAAGCGTCTCAACGCCCTGGTGGATTTGGATGGACAACCTCTCCCTCGGATGGACGGTATTTTGGATTCTCTGTACACCGGGAAAGTATTCTCCATCTTCGACCTCAACTCGGCCTTCCACCAGATCGTTTGTGATGAAGACACTGTCCCGCTCACCGCCTTTTGCACTCCCACGCAGTTGTTCGAATGGCTTCGGATGCCGCAGGGAGCCAACGCAAGC